TGCATATGTTAACTCGTGCTTATACAAATGATATTATGTATTGTATATATGCACTGTTCAAGTCAATTGAGGCTGTGATTTGCTGTTTTTAGTGCTTCTATATGTTCTCTAATCTTACGCTTTGCTGAAAAGTCCCCACAACCTACAAAATCATGTATTTTTGACCATTATATCACGCTTCCTGTATTATCAATATATTCAGACAGTTGAGAATTTTTGACCCATAGACCCTTATAGGCGGCTTTATATATATTCCTTTTACTCTTTATTCTTTATTCTTTATTCTCTTTTAATTCTTTTACATATATTCTTTTTTAAATCGGTCGATAGATATCACTCCCCTTTTTCATTTCCACGTGGGTATGCAGAAAAACTGGGTTTTGAAAACTCCCTTAATAGATTGATGCTGAAGTAACTTTCATATCGCTTGAAGAGGCGAGAGGAAGGGAAGCTGTAGGGGAATCTCCTTGGAGCTGTGACCGTGGATTTGCGCGAATAGGCCATCGACGCATCGCCCTGCAATCCCGGAGAATCCTTGCTAAGCTTCCGTCCGTCATGTGACGGACATCGTCAGAGCAGGACACAGTGCTTAAAGATAGTTCACCAAAACACGAAGGCAAGAAAGGTGGCCGGCTGCAATCCTACCTACATCTTGTAGTCCAAATTGGTCCACTTCATAAGGCGGCTCATAATTTGATATCCTATGCGTTGCCTAAATGTTTGCTGAAAAATTGTGTCAAGGTCAATTCTGATCTTTGGGCTCACAGACCTTTACACATCATTTTGTGTTCAGATAACCTCTTATGTATGGGCCTACAGGTATCTACCACCTACGCGGCACCGCATAAACATAAAACCTTGTAACAGCCCCATCTGGATAGAGGGCCAGAATATTCTCGAAAATCAAGGCATTACTGAGAAAAGTGTTCTTTTCTCCGTATAAATAGTCCTGATGTCCAACCTCCTTAGTAATTCGTCTTTCTTCTTCGACAGATTACATGATGGCTGGATAAGGATTCGGGTAGAATGGTCGAACCTTTATTTAATTCCAAATTTGTTTTTCTTACTATCCTATTTGACATTATTCTAAAATAATTTTCAAGCAGCCCTCGAGGTTAATTGTTTCCAACACGATTTTTCCTTCGTCGCCTCAATTCCTGGTCACATCTGCCAGATACAGGCGCTTTATTAAAATTGGCTTAATAACTCCTACTTTAACCCCATACGTGTGATTCGGAAAGAAATTCAAAAATAAATCTGTGTTTGTGGCTTTCCTATATACATCTCTACCTAATCTGATCCTCTCTTTGCTAACTAGGACATCAAGAAAGGGTAAACCACCTTACTTATGTAACTCGACGATGAATTTCGTCTTCCCTTCTATCCTGTTGTTCAAACCATCTTCTCTTTGTCATGCTGCCAAATTGTAAAGTAGTCGTCCATATAGTGAACTAATGATTTATTCACTAAAGGTGCCACTTGAATTAGGCGTTCCTAGAATTTAGCCACGCTATTATTTGCTACAACTGGTGACAAAACGATCTCATAGCTAACCTCGTGTTTTATGAGATGTATTTACCCTATTTCGTTTAAGGCGATGAAGGACTGGTAGTAGAATCTTCCCATAATAATATGAGTAGAGCTGACATTTTCTTTGAATTTAACATAGGATTGCTTTCCCAAAAGTCTTTCTTATCCAGGGTGTACTGCAGTTTCGACCTCGCATAGGTCATATCAACACCCCCAGCGGGAGTCGAACCGTGACAGTGTAGCATGTGTACTTGGCACGTCGACCACTCGACCACATTGCCACGAGCGCCACGGGGTTGAAATTGCAGTCCACCCTGGATGATAGCAACGTTTGGGAAAGCAAGGCTATGTGAAATTCAATGGTAACGCCAGCTCTACTCATATCATTGTGGGAAAATTCTACTACAAGTCCTTCATCACCTTAGACGAAATAGAGTGAATACATTTCATATAACTGATTTACTGGAAGCCTCGAAACTTTACTTATATACGAAAAATAAACTCGTTATTGTTCGTACAGTTTACCATCAAAGTTAAAGCATGAACAGTGCACCGCCAGATTGGTCTGTACATTAGTGACACTATTTGAATTCGCCCTCCATAAAATCTCATGGCGTTCCAGACCCGGTTGGAATCGTCCACAAACGTTTTAGTATACATAGACTAAACATCAAAACTTAAAATAAAATCCCCAATTTCTATCTCCTGCCTGTTGACTAAGTCATCGGATTTATAAGCATTCTTATTTAATTGAAGATGTGAAGACCAAGATGTTGTGGCCTCGGGTATGGTCGCAGTCTCCTTTCGACTTA